TCAACATGGAGAATTCAGCTGCATAGGAAGCCACATATCACTAATTGGATAGTTCTCTGATGCTTAAAGCAAGACATGGGGGTCAAGGCCTTTAAAAAATTGACGTCAGCAGGAACCTTGTCACAGTCACTTCTTTCTGTGAAGAAGTTACAATGGGCAACAATTCAAGTGAAATATGAGTCACCTCCACATAGACTGACAAACTGACGAAGAAAGGGGTAGAGACAGGGGTTGCTGGAAGCAATGGAGCAAAGCAGGGCATTTTCATGGAGCAGCCGGGGCCTCTGGCAATGGGTAGTTTGGGAGATGGAATAATGAGGAACACAGGAGCTGAGAGGAAGCAAGTCTAAGACTCTTTGCTTGCAGGTGGTGGAAGATAATGCACAGGAAAGGGGCGTTAGTAGCACTGGGACTAAATCCTAGACATTCTGACTTTTCATCTAATGCTCCTTCCGTTACATATCCCCCTCCTCTCAGTTGTAACAACCAAAAATGTCTTCAAACATTGCCAACTGTCCCACGGGGGGAGGGTGGCAAAATCACCCCCTCTCTTGAGAACCAATTCCCTAGAGAGATATAAGAAAAGTTTTAAGAACTTAATGTCTAACCTCTTCAAGACTTTTATATTTCAAAAGAAGAAGCCTACAAAGGCCTACAAGAACCATATTGCACATCCAAAATCTGAATTCCTACCATATGTTTGTATAATGCAGAGACTGCCAATTGAAGGACTATAGGCTGAATCTGGCCCTCAGATTTAAAAAAAAAATTAGTTATCAACATTTTAAAATCAGATTTCACATTTAAAATATCCCCCCTGCCCAACAGCCTGCCTTCCTCAGCACCCAGGCTTCAGGGGAGGGGGAAAAGAACACCCTGTGGTTCTGACTTATCAGAATTTTTTTCTATAGAAAATCTAAAGCTATGGCAAGATCAGGCCCACATGGCAATAACTGGGTGGAGTTAAGTGGAAGCTATAGCCTTCTAATAGAATATGTGCTCTTTAGTTCACCACAGTCCCTACCACTCCTTATTCCGTCATACCCAATTGGCTTCACTCATTTATACCATTCCTTGCTAGGTGATGCAAATGGCTAACATGCTCAGCTGCTAACCAAAAGCTTGGAGATAAAAGTCCACCCAGAGGTGCCTCAGAAGAAAGGCCTGTTGATCTATTTACAAAATATCAGTCATTGCAAATCCTATGGAGCACAGTTCTACTCGACACACATAGGGTTGCCATGAGTCAGAATTGACTCCACAGCAATTTGGTTTTTTGGTTGTTTTTTGCCCCATAGGCAATTCATTTTCAACCCCTGAAGTGCTTTATAGTTTGAATGCTTTTCCATGTGTGATTTTGTTTTAGCTTTGATATTCCAGTAAGGTAGGCAGGATAAATATCTTCATACGAGCAAAATGTACTTCGAGAGATTTTGCCCAAATTTACACAACAGAACCAGCATCTAGACTTTCTGACTCCTAGTCCTATTATTTTTTGGGGAAAAGTTTCTATTAAAAATTTCATTTAGGGAGGGAGGGGACAAGGGCGAGTCATTGTCTAGGAAGGATTGAGTTTCTCTTTATGGTGATAGAAAATTTGGCAACAGATATTGGTGATGATTGCACATGATTGATGTAACTGGTGTCAATGAACTGTACATGTGAACAATGTTGAATTGGCAAATGTTATGTTATTGTAAAAATGGCTCAGTGGCATCAGAGGTCCTCTAACTTCAGGAGGGAGGAGAATCAAGATTATCAGCCCAACACTGATTCCTATAAGATGGAGATCAAAATACCTCTATCCTCCAAATTTTTTACCAATTCTGACACCAGCCACCCCTCCATCGACGCTCTCTACTTCTCCGCTAGGTTCGATAATTGGTTGCAATGGCAGCACAGAACTCACAGACAATATGAGTATAGGGTTTATTAGGGAAGTAACAGGTCACAATTCAGGATCAGGAACGATTCGGTATATTTCTTCAATCAGGACAGCTTCTTCTCAGCCATGCCCACAAGCAGGCCTCTCTCTGGCCCTTGGCCTCTAGGCCTCACCTCTGCCCTGCTCGGGCAAGTGTTATGAAGCTATTTAGCTTGGCCAATAAATGCCCAGAGGCACCCTACTCCACCAGTAAGCCTTGGCCTGAAGGCACTCAGCTCTCTTGCTCTGTGGGTTGGCACACCCATTTAGCCATCTCGTTCTGTAGGCGGGGAAGCCCACTGCACCATCTGCTGTCATTTCTCTGCTGCTGCTTTTTGCTGTCTCAGATGTTATAGCTATCTTCTGGGTCTAGGAGGTTCTCAGCGCACAGACACTGGGTCCAAAGGACGTGCTCCACTCCTGACTCTTCTTTCTTGGTGTTAGCAAGTTCCCTTCTCTGCTCTGGGATTCTTCTAAGCCTAGCGGGATGGCAAAACTGACCAGTCCCCTCGTTAGGGTTCCATATACCTTATTTACATGGTCCCACCCCCACAGGGGTTCCATGCACCTTATTTGCATTATTAGCAAGCTGTCCAATCCCCTTGGTGGGCCACAAACACCTCATTTGCATAGCCCCACTCAATCATTTTGTAGGAGTCACAAGACCATGGTGAGAAAGGCCACAGAAAAGTGATTCATCACACCACAGTTACATAGGTTTTTACAATTTAAAAAATGGTGTGAAAAAAAAAAGAACTTCATTTAGTGGTTCATGGAACCAAACCAAAGAAGTGGATAACTGCTGGAATGGATGAGTTCCAACTGCTGAACTGTTCAAGAATCACTGCAAATGATTAACTTTTTCTTTTAATGAAGTATTTCTGCTTCCCTTCTCCCTCCAGGGACATGGAAAGATTACCTTTTCACTTCTCTGAAGTTGGATGTGTCTATGTGACTTGATCTGGCCAACGAACTGTGAGTGGAAGTGACATGTGTCCCTTCTGGGCAGAAGCACTTAAGAGCCCATGAACAATTTCTCACCCTTCACATTCTGAGGGGGGAACCCTAAACCTCACGGTGACATGGTGGAATCTCAAGATACCCAATACCCTTTGGCTTGAGTATCTGAATATATTGACCAGAGCCCCCTGCCAGCCTACCTTGGGCATGTAGTGTGAGAAATCAACCTTCTTGGTTTTAAGTCACTGAGGTCTGGCATTGTTAACGCAGCATAACCTAGCCTAATCTGACGGATATAAGGTTCGTTTTCATGGTCATTATGCTTCCCCAAGAACTGGAATGCAATTTTTACAGACTTCTGATCACACCATTAAAAGTTGTTGCTCTCCTCTGGAAGGCAGTGAAAGTAAATTGTTGCTTTTTTCCCCAGCTTCCTCATCTACCACCACCTTCTGACTTTTTAGAAAATTATTTTCTTGGAGCCCTCACACATGAACTCTCCACTTTTCTGGCAATTAGAATGCAGAGGAGGGCAGATCTTTTCTACATTCCAGAGCCTCATCCCAGAACCACCCCCACCCACGAGTAGTCACACATAACCTTGCCATAAGGTAACTATTAGAGCTCCCAAGGTGTCACAAACATAAAGGAACTGCATCTGGTGCCACTGCAGTGTCAGAGCAAGTGAGCCAGTCTGCGCTCTCTCCTCACCCATGCCTGGGGCTGGCAAACCCCAAGAAGCAGCATTTTCTAGGAGGAAGAAGCCTTACGTGGGAACAAAAATAAGTGTGAGGAGTGCTCCCATACTGGGCACTATGTGAATTTGGGGCGAGTTCTTAGTACTCTAGCTCTGATCAACTTCCGATTTCTCTAGCGGCTAATAAACCGCCTGCTAGTACACTGGGCCTTCCATTTTCCTGGGGTCTTCACTAGCCCACCAGAGCCTGTCATCTTTGCACACTTGAGGAAGTCACAAATGGCGGGAATTCAGCTACCAGAGCTTCAGCAACATGACTACTGCCGGGATCAAAGGTCGGCGGGTCTGCCAAGAAACCGAGTCTGCGCAGTGCCCCCTCCCGCCTTGGAGAGAAAGGGCGGCGGTGACGCAAGCTCCGCACTCCAGCGTGCACGCAGAGGCGGCAAAGTCGGCCCGCCCCGTCTGCCTCCCGGCCCTGCGAGCCTGGCCTTCTTCGGCGCCCGGCTCCTGGGGAGCTGGTCGAGAAGCGCCCAGCACTTCTGATTGATCATCTCCAGCCCCTTTTCTCGCTCGCGCTCCAAGTCTCAGGACTTTGGACCTGGCCATTTGTGCGAGGGAGCACAGCGACAGCACCTAGGAAACCCCAACTCCGCCGAGGACCGGCACCCAGCCCCCGCCTGTCTCCGAAGCTGCCAGAGGGAGAGGTGTCGACCCATAGTCAGCTCTCGGTTGCTGTGGTTGGGATAGCGGCCCCCCGCGCTAGGTGACCCGCCCGGTTCCTCCCCGCACGCGGGGTCAGTGGTCGCGTCCGGAGAAATTCTCGGCTAGGCCCTGACTTTCAGTGCCTCGCGTCAATCAGCAGATACACAGCGCCCCTACCGCGAAGGGAAGGCTCTTTATTTCCCAGCAGGCCACGGGGTAGCTGAGCATCCTGGGACCTGTAGTCTCCGCTAGAGTAAAAAGGAACACATGGAAGGGACAACTGAAGCCCCCAGGAGTTGAATTCGGAGAGTTGGCCTGTGCAGAAATCGGGGCTTGGAGTGAATGGGATTGTGAGAGGTGGACGAAAGAGAATAGTGAGATAGGGCAGATGTAAAGCCGTAATGGGGAGGCGATGGGGAAGAAAAACGAGGATGGAAGCAAGGAAGTGGCTATAGCTGAAGGTTGGCTTAAGGGATGCCCTGCAGGAGGGCAGGTCTTCAGGGCGGTGAGGTGGGGGAGGACTCTGGACAAGGTATAACTTCTAGCGAGGAAGGGAAGAGAAAGGGGCCTGCTCTGAGTGGAAATTGAAGGTACTCCATCGGGCTTCACGTAGGTCTCGCGGGAGTCTGTCTAGCTTCTGAGCTCTGCGGGATAGGGTGCAGAAGGGTCTGGAGAGCGCTCCTGCAGGGTAAAAGGGGAGCAACATCCCTTGCCAGCTCACTTATTTGTTCCGTTTGCTGTACTAGCCACCGTGGGACCATTCTCCAAAACTGGAACCTCCTCCAACTCAGAGAGACCCTGAAAACCAGACAGAGGCGAGAGGGGAGCAAACTGTAGGTGTGACAAGACAAACCCCAGACAGAAGCAAATTCCTCTCCCTCCCCAATTTTTTCTTGTGTTCCCATTGCTCTTCCAGTATTTATGCAGCTGCCTAATGTTCCTCCACCGTTCTAGTCCCAACTCAATTCTCTCTTAGCAACCATTAGGGGAGAAATGTCCAGAGCCGGAAAGCCAGTCAGTTTCAGTCTAGCACCCCGTGATGTCCCTCCTGCCTTATTGTTTTCCCTTGAGTACCAGTGATCAGGATAGCTAGTGAGAAAATGAGCTGGCAGCCACTCCTGTGCTTGAACTTCCTTCCTGCTCCCCATACCTCCTGCAGCTTTTCATAGTGCAGACTCTGGCTCCTGCAGCATCCTGGCTTCCTCTGGCTCAACAGGAGTAGGGCATATGCTGAGAGCAAGACTCCTCCTAGGGTGAAGGCCTCAGCGCTGAGCTCCAGCACCAGCAAGCCAGCCAGCTGCAGATAGATAGGGCTGAGGATACTGCAGGGGACCCAGCATATGGTTACCCCTACCCTCTTCCCTGTCCATCTCCTCTTGCCTCTTCATCCTCCCACCTCCTTCATTCACCCATACCTGGGAGGGGGCAGCTGGGGCAGTTGCCAAGGCTGTCTTCATCACTTCGACCACCACCACGATGAAGCCCAAGATCAGGTTGAAGGTATTCAATGTCATCATGGCCCACACCTGCCAGTGAGCCAGCTCAGCCCTGTGCAGCCTAGGGGATTCACTCCAACCCCAAGTCCCACCTGCAGCCAGCTGAAATCAAAACTCAGTTCCTGCATCTCCACCTCCAAATAGAGCCATCAGCCCCCTAACTTTCTTGCTCTCCCTCTCAGTCCTTTAGGTCAGTCAGGGACAGCACAGCTGACAGGATTAGTCAACACTCAGAGAGCTACTTACTTCCTGGGTTCAGGGGTGTATGTGTGTGTTTGTGTGGGGAGAAGCAGACAGTACTGCATTCTCTTCCCCTCTCACCTTCCAGAGGCGGGGTGCTCTGCGCAGCTCAAGGGTGACAGTCCCAGAGAGGAGACCCTGAATGGTGAGAAGGGCAAGGGTTGAGCTCTGGCCCCATTAGGGAGCCCCCGTTCCTTCCATGCTCCCTTGAGGTGGGTCTCACCGAGGCTGCAGGCCCAAGGGGCAGCGCTGTGGCCATGTGACAAGCAGAGTTCAGGCAGGCGACAGAGGCAGCAAAGGGCACCACAGCCATTGCCAGCCATAGCTGGCTCACCTAGGGGCCAGGGGCAGGGCAGTTGAGGGGGAACTGTCAGGGATTCCCTTCCTTCCTTACAACCCCTGCCTCTTCCAGAGATCAGGAATTGGGATGAATGCATGGTGGGGGAGGGTATTCAACCAAGGGAGTGAAGGAAGGGGGTATCACTTAATTTTTCTGCCTCACGTCAGAGTTATTTACCTATATAAAGAAGCCGTTTGGAGATTAAGGGTCTTGCCTATTTTATCTCTGTTTCCTCCTCCCTCCTTCTACTCAGAGCCTAGCAAAGTTTCTGGCACATGGTAGGGTTTTACTAAACATGAGTGCAATTGAACTGGGATACAGGTGGGCATATAGGAGCCTGGGGTGGGGCAGCCTGGCCTCACCGCCAGCACCAAGAGGTGCCCATTCTGCCTGTGCCTCGCCCAGTGCTGTAGCTTTTCCAGATGAATGCTGGATCTCTCCTGCTTTTGCTGATGAGCTCTCTCTTCCATGGTCCCTTTGACTACAGGAACTGGGTGCTTCCTAGGCTGGGAAAAATGCATTATGGGGCCTGTCTATCAGGAGACAGGACACTCAGTAACATCTCCTTCAGCTGCCCCCCTACCTGCTTTCAGTATCGAGAGAGTTGAGGCCCAGGGCCTCATACCTACCTAGTAGGAAGTAGCTTCTCTAAAGGGATGGGACCCAGCAGAGCCCTGGGGCTCCCAGGGTGGCCTGGTAGCTCACAGCATATGACACACTTGCTCTGGCAGAGACAGGTTGTCAGGGCTGGGGTGTGGTGGGACAAAGGTCCCTATGAGGGCCGAAGGATCCAGGGAGTGGCCCTGGGTAGATGTCAGCCTCAGTTCACTCCACAAGATACCCAGCCCTGCCTTCTCTTCCCATTTTCCATTTTCTGTTGCCCCCACTTCCCCCTACCCTGGGTTCCTCTTCTGATCACTAGCCTCATCCCCATGGACGCCATCACCCTGGGCCCCAATTCTCCCTCCATTTCTATCCTTATCTTTCTCCTTTCTTTGGCTTCCTCCTCAGATTACTTGCTCTTCCCTAGGGAGAGTCCACATTACTATCCGGATTAGTCCCTGTCATTACCACTTGCAGCTTTGTCCCCAGACCAGGTAAGATTTAAATCCCTGGCCTCCTGTCTGTCACTTTCTGGACAACTTCTCCTCCTTCCCGTTTCGAAAGATTTGCTCTGTGTCAGACACCAACTAAGTGGATGGGGAAACCTGTTTATGGTTGTGATTGTTTTTGACTCAGTGATAACCTACAACTAGAGATATATAGAGGATGGACCCAAAATGATTAGTCTTGGGAAGGACATTATTGCAATAATTAATATTTTTGAGAGATAGAAGGTGCCTTGCAGAAAGACAGATCTGAACTAGAATCTCAGCTCTGCTACTTTGCACGCCGTCTGACCTTGGATAAATTATTATCCAAGAATTATTATTCTATTTAAACCTTTCACCGATAAAAGGGTACTAACAACATGCCTAAAGAGTTGTTGACTCAGGGCTGGTGCTTAATAACTGTTGGTGATGCTGATGAGGTCATACTGATGAGCCTGATGCCCATATACTAAAGGGCTTATTCAGAAGCTGAGATGGAGCCATTTATTTCTACAGTAAGGAACAGAGCCAAAAAAAGAATAAAAAACCAAACCCGTTGCCATCGAGTCGATTCTGACTCATAGTGACCCTGTAGCTGGGCCCAGATATACACTCTATAGATCAAAGATAGGAAAGGCCATCTTGGTCTGCAGGCAACCAGACCTATGTTCCTATCCCAAATCTACATGGGTGACCCGGGGCAAGTTACTTCATCTCTCTGTATCCTTGTCTATAAAGGGCAGTTAATACCAATCGCAAGGGGTTGGGTTGTCTTGAGTATTAAAAGAGAAAATTCATATGAACCAACTCAGCCCAGTGCCTGGCATGTAAGTGCTTAATAATGTTAGTAGCTATTATCATCATCATTATTTATTATTATTGATTGTAGAATAAAACTGAGCCAGAAGACCCCTGGGAGTTACTACTGGGAAGGAGTGGCCTTCTTTGTAAGCCATTCTGCCCTGCTCAGTGCTGGGCCAACCCTCATTGGAGCATTGTATCCACTCTTTCCTTTTCTTTTCCGGGGAGTGGGAATCACATTTTAAAAGGATCCAGAGAACTGCTGTGTATCTACGTCTCCCTCGTCGATCCGCATGTGCATTAATTTTATTTAGTGGCAATGGCCTGACAGAATCTTAGACATTGGCCTTGCGCTGAGGATTCCTGGGCTTGCAGACCAGTGACTCGCTGGGAGAAGAGACTCCTTGAGCCTCATTTTCCTTACATTTAAATGGGGACTAGTTATATTTCAGAGGGTTATTGTAAGGGTTATAGGCTATTAACTATGTGAATAGGCACTCAATAAATATTGATTAAATCTGAGTATGCTATTTATAAGTTCGTAGCCCCTGTCTGGACTATAATCTCCTGGAGGAAGGATACGACATCCCCCTCATCTGTGCATCCCCCACAGCGCTGAGCATAGTGCCTGGTACTTCGTAAGAACTCAGTAAATATTTGTTGTATTGAAGAGCCATTAAAGTGACTTAAGGAATGGAAAATAGAACTCAAGAGGAAGGAGCTGGAATTGTTTATCAAGAACAGAAAGGACCGAAGAGTAACTTTAATATGTTTCTTATACGGCAGACATTAACTATCTCTCTAATTGCCCCTCCTCCTCCCCCAAAAGAGAAAATGTAAGGGAGAGGCTTTGAGATAAAACCCCAGGAAGAACTTCCCGAGTCTGTGCATGTTGGGGCAGAAAGAGCGGCAGAGCCAACTCCTTGCCTGGTATGTCCGGGTTTAGGGTGGGAGGGGCAGTCCAGCTTGGAGGC